CTAAAATCCAACAAACGTGAAAGGTAAGGTACAACAGAGTTGTGAAAAGCAGCGGTACGAGTATAAAAAGGTTTAAATTTAGTGCCGGTTACAGAAGTTGAAATGGAGCTAGATAGGGCTGTGTAAAGGATATGAGGCATCGAACGAGATGGAGTCACACACATTCAGGTGACAATGGAATCAACCAGCTCATCATAAGATAAAGCTCCATATCTAGAGATGCTTTTCAGAGAGTGTGTAATTAATATGAAATCCAAACCGGGAAAGATAACGTGAGAGTAGTAGGTCCAATGACAAAACGCATGAGAAAATAAATTTGGAGACGATTTACGATGGCACCCTCAAATGCCGAAGGTGTGAAACATAAAAGGTCAAATTTCTGACTTCAAGAAATGTTTGTTCTCCGTGATAGAGCCGTTTGAGGTCAGCAGACACGAAACATTCAAGATATTTGAAGTGTTGTGACCTTTCAACTTTTAAGTTATTGATCAAGATATCGGGAAAAGTTGATTCAAAAAGCGTTATTGGCCTACGGTCAATGGAAAACATAACTTCAATGCATTTATTGGGGTTTAAAGGAAGGTTAACACCATCGGACCATTCAGAAATGGAACTTACGGCTGATTGAAGGGGGTTAGTTAAAGGGTTGTCGTTGTTAGATGCACCACCAACTACTATGTTATCGGTATATTTAAAAGTGAAAACATTTGGGGTGACTGACAAGTTTTGGATATAAAAGGAGACCAGAAAAGGGGATAAAATTGCGCCCCGGTTTACGGTAACAGTAGAAGACCTAATACCATTAAGATTAGCGTATTGGCGTCGGTCGGTAAAATAGTCGTGCATCCGATGCAAAAGATGTGGCGGGAGATTATTACCGTAAGAGTGTCCATAGGATGTTCCTGTTGACAGAGTTGAACGCGTTCGTGTAGTCCAAAAAACAAAAGTGAACAATTTTCTGTTTTTGGTCTATAGTGGATAAAACAGTGCATAAGACAAGCAACCACATCTAAAGTAGAGCGACGCTTGCAATAAGAAAAAAGGATTGGAATCACGAAAATCAAGATTAGAGGATAGGTGCTTCATAATAGCACGCTCAAAAGTCAACAGAAATATTGTACATATTTATATAGGAGGAATGCAAACTCCCACATCCCAATAACGGTGAGGCAAATCTTTAAGAATGGTTATTGCTGTATCCGCACCCTGGACTAGTCAGCCTCCATCCTGTCTGTGATTCCCAAACAATGTCGATGAACGTCAATGATGCACAAGTGCCTTCGCGCAGCCATGTTTCTGAAATTTCTATCGCTCCAACTTCCAGTTCCTTGACCATTAGTAATTTTTCTACGCACCTATTTCGAATGCCAAACGATGCTACTTACTTTTACCCTGATGTGACCAACTCGTCTGAGAATGAGTTGATTTCACCCTTCACCCCGACAGATGACTGTCCATGCATGGTGTTCAGCCGCGTGGTTGTCACAACGTTCTGATTCCAGCTTCAGAAACCACTCACAGCTTCTAGATGCTTAGGTGCTCTATATCTTCTTTGATTACGGTGAGCAAGATCCTCAACTGAATACCGAGAGGACAGCACCATCCCGAACTGTTCACAACAGCTGCATAGATAACTCTGGAGAACAAGGTAGAGCGGTATGCTGGCATCGATCTTGCTACTCTGCCTTCAACGTGCAGTACAACTACCAGTGGTCGATCGCCTCGAGTCTTTGGAATTCTTGCGCTCCTAACGGTTATATCTCGCAGTCCAAGTATAGTCAGTAAAATACGGATACCGTTGCCATGTTACAGACAGACCGATTCCATTAATGAACCCGTTGGCTTATCTAGCGGTATACTTCAATACGCTCGGTCAGCATTATTCCCAGAGGTAACCCGTTAGGTTTTTGACCACGATGAACGTAACCGCAAATAGTGAGATTTTGCATCACAAAATTCTGTGCTCCTAAAAGGACTGCGTATTGAAATGTTGGAGGTCGAGAAAACCGCTTAGAGCACAAAAACCTGGACACTCGATTGGACCACAAGTGGTCCAATGAGAATTGAACCGAAATAAGCGAGTCTAGAAAGAGAGTAGCAACATTTCTCTGGAACACCAAAATAATCATCTTATATCACCTAATCGAAATACCTGTTTTACTACCAAAGATTTTATCAGTAGTTAGAAATACGGATTATCACCATGGCCTGTCCGGTTGATGCGTACAAGCACATAAACAGTCACTGAAAACTGCTTTGTTCTGAGTCAACCAATCAGAACAAGAACAGCGTAACTCAGGGCGACTGGTTGCAACCGGTATCCACTCGCGACAGTTAATAGCGGCTTAACCAATCGTTTTGTATCGGCAATTCCATGTTCTCCCCTACATAAATATACTTGCACACGCTTCAACACCTTTTCCCATCAAGCTTTAGTCAAAACCCGCTATCCCTCAGTCTTGGCCCACAATCCTTTAGCCAAAAACTGCAATGCTTTAGTCATGACCCGTAGTCCTTTAGCCTCGACGCACAAAACTTTAGCCATACCGTTGTACGTCCATCTGATGAAAAAGTATCGGAATATTTTGAGGTCAACGAGTGTTGAGAAAAATGATCCTTTACGTATATTGATGTTACAAAGCTTAGTCAAGAAATAAGGTGTGGTGGTCGCACGTTGGACCACCTGTTAACTGAAGAAAGGTCAACCGATGTGTCATTTGACATATCTCGTACAGCTTCAGTGTTTTCGTATAACATGCGACACTTCTGTGAGTAAAAATCTCAAGCGTGAAATAAATGGTACTTTGTTTTGCATTCACAGACCTTGAAATAAAAAAGTGATATCACAAAAAAGTAATTGCTTGCTGTTCCACTTAAACTCCGCCTGAGATTTGGATCAATTAACACGTCGAGGGTAGGAAACACCGTTCACAAAAGACAACCCCTTTAGTACACTTTTTCTCATCAAGCTTTATACTAAACAAGTAATTTTTGAGCCTCGACTGTCATAATTAAGTCGAAAATTGCAGTTTTACCAAACAAATGATAGTAATGGGGACGTATTTTTACAATTTCCACTCAACTTTACAGTATAGCATGTGAAGCCTGGAACTCGGATTATTCGGGGGTTATGCAATCGCACCTGTTGAGCTATGGTTCGCTAGGACAAGGGCAGATTCCTTGGTCTAGCACGTACTTTAAAGGGATTTGACTGCTTTCAAAGTACCACGAGTTTATCCGGAAATTTCAAGCCCGTGAATACTAGGATGTCTATTTTGCGATGTCTATCTGATTATTACGTAGCTTCAGATTCCCCGATAATTGATCGATTCCTATCGTCCGAAGACTGATATTGAGTTTGAGTGAGATGGTCTATTTACGCTACAGTTCATTCCGGAATAGAATTAAATTAGAATATGTGAGATCTCACTTCGGTTCAGTTTATAATTTTATATTTCTGCAAAGGTCAATGAAAGTTTTCTCACGTTCAATGAACACCCTGCCCGCTGAGTAAACCAATTTCATAATTGAACGAAACAATTCAACACACGCGTGGCAAGCTCTGAACATTTTCCCGTTCAACCCATCTAGCGCACAACTTAATTGCATGTCTTCTGTAACCATCAGGTTAGAATTGCAGTTGATCTAATCCAGGACAATTGCATAGCACTACAGTTCTACCCTCCGACTGTCACGAGGATAAATACCCAACTTGGGTTGGTGACTAGTAAACGGTAATATCATGGCGCCAATATATATATATATCCCTTCGATCACCGGGGAGGTTGCAGAGAAAGTACCTACCTGGGCAGTTATATCTCACCTGGCGGACGCACCACAGATGAAATGGCTCGCATACAGAAGGCTCGGTTGGCATTTGCCAACTTGCGTCATTTGTGGTGCCGTCGCGAGAGTAGAGTATATGCTGCAGCAGTTCGGCCAGTTCTGCTTTACGGCGCAGAGACTTGGCCATTAAGGGAACAGGATAAAAATAGACTGTCGGTGTTCGAACACCGCTGTTTACGTCGCATTTTGCGAGTCTGGTGGGGTAGCCGGATGTGCAATGCTGAGGTTAGGCATAGAGTTTTAGGTAATCGCGGTCGTCCACTGGAACAGGTAGTCGACCTCCATAGATTACGTTGATTGGAGCATGTGCTACGCATGTCACCAGATAGGTTGCCACGGCGAGCGATGCTTGGGGAGACAGGTAGCGGTTGGAAAAAAATCAAGGGCGGTCAAGCTAAGACCTGGCATGAGAGTATGAAAACCCTGACCAGAAGACTGGCTCACATAGGTCCCGTTAGGCTCCCTGGATGGGGAACCAGAGATCATGGTCACCGGTGGTTAGACACTGAGCGATATGGTTGGATGTCGCAAACAGTGGCTCTCATGCATCTACTCATTATTCTTGCAACTTCAGTCTATGAAAATGTCCTACCTTTAGCTTAAATCTGCTCTCAACATTCTAATCATCATCCAAATGGGCAACCAAAACCGGGGCACAAAAGTGCATGGTTAATGGTTGTAAGAACTGAACTGAACTGATACTCGATTCTGAATAACTCTAAACACAAACACATTTGTCCTATGCTAAATAGGCCGATAAAACTGGTGCTGAAAATCTCATCTCTCGGAGTGAATAAAGTCGGTTTTGGTATGGGAAATTCAATGTAAAACACAAGAGACCAGATTGTGTGCAAAGCATTGGCAACGTCGTTGGACCGACAGGAAAGGAAGCCCGCAAATATGTGCCGTACCACTGATGAACAGGTGTAGACGAATTGCGTGAAGCGTGATATGCGTATATGGGATACCGCTGGGTGGGGTGTTGGAGAGTGCGGTTGCGTGTGTGTGGGAAAACGAGAGGAATTATATACAGGGACTTGTCGAAGCGGAGATACATGCATGATTCACACACTGAAGGGGGGGGGAGTGAAGCAGCGATATTAGGCTTGATATTTTGATGAAGAATGGGAAAGGACCATATCACAAATGAGATATCAGATTGCAACTCCATCCGCCGAAGTCGAAGTGGATGCCCTTGGGTAGAGTGCTGGCGGACTGAGGGATCGCAGCTGTTGCCGTCTGTTTGCATTCGCCGTCTCCAGATTGGACAACAGCTTGCTCAATTCCTGACCGACGCGAGCCTCGAGTTGAGCGGCTTCATCACTGTAAAGTGAGAGTGAGAAAATACACTAAGAATCGCATTTAACTCACAACTACTTGTGAGTAGTGTTGTGGGATAAGTGATATTGATTGATTGATAGACCAGAACTGACCATCCTTCAGACTTCAGCTTCACGCACATTTCTCAGCTCTTCCAGTCAACCATACACTCAGAAATACTGTAGACACCAGTTTTGGTCTTATTAGAGCTCATCATTAGTGCATATCCACCGTCCCGTTCGGGATTTGAACTCCGGTACCAAGCACCGCATGCTCAGGCTGAACTGCATTATCCATTCATGTTTGTTCAGATATCGTCTTCAGAGATAGTCAGTCAGTTCATTGTTGGCCCTATAGCAATGAAGGAGACATAGTTGACTCCAATCGAAGGCCTCTCACCAAATCAGGTCTACCATGAAGGTTGCGGGTTAACTGGCCACAAACGTACCAGGCTGGATTGATAATTCGCATTTAACTCACAATTACTGGTAAGTAGTGTTGTGGGAAGACTGATATGATTGATTGACTAGAACTGACCATCCTTCAAACTTCGCCTTCACGCACATCTCTCAGCTCTTCCAGTCAACCATGTACTCAGAATCAATGTTTGAGTACAGTGAGTTTGCACAATGAATAACATTGTAAGTCTTTGGCTGCAAAAGTGATTGGCGGTAGAAATGAAAACTGAGAAGAGCATCGGTGACAGATTTAACAATGTCAGTGAAAAACTGTGGTCACATAAACTGCCTGACAATCATTGAGGGATACTGTATAAATTAGCTGTTATTTTTCACTTTTAAAACCGCTAGTGAAATTGAATGCGATAAAGCGATGGTGGAATAGGAATGAACCCATATACCAAATTGGTGATGTGAAACAGCTGCTGTTCGTGATTTACTATTTACCAAGGTACCTCTCGGGGACCTTAACAAGACGGGTTGATCTCGCCCAACCGAAGATATGCAACTGCTGGTCTCCCCGTTATTCGGACGTCACTAACACACCTTATTGATTGTTTAATATCTACTGTCTGTACTTTAGGAATCACGGCCTGGGGGGAAGGTATTCACATCCATATCACAAGGTCACATCACATTTGACGTTTTGACCCGGTTACCTTTTGCAAATCAAGCTGTTTGCATATCAAATCAAGATAGCCGGGTACCACTTCAAGTTGTCCCGCAATCAAATCTATACGAGGCGTGCTTCTCATTCGAATCACCAGACTCATATACTGGTCAAGCCTCGAGTGCTGTCCGAATATTGCATTCCACTCTCCGCTTGTCACCGCAGAATCACCTACAAAAATTTCTACCCTTCAACTACCGGTACACCAATGCGATATTTGTCTGTCCATGAATGTATGCTACATCTGTGAGACCAGTTTTGCCGTACATAGTGTATAGACAGTCCGTGCCTCTTAGAGTATGACTGGAGATTACTGGTGTTTGAGTACCGATGTGCACGCGGAAATGAATGCGTCTTGTGGGGACTGTTAGACGAGTAGTGGTCATGGTTGAGGACACAGTAACCTAATCGTAAATACAAGCAAATCTTTCTCGGGGACGGATCTTGAACGTTCGGGATTTCACGTTTTAGAAACTTGGTGACTCGGAGGCGCAAGAGTAGCTATTCACTTTATTTCCCTTTAACCCGCCTGAGTTTCCTTTCCGTCAGAGAGCGGCGGGGGGGGGGGGTAAGGAGCTAAAGTGAATACAAAAACAACAATCCGAAAAGAGTGGGGAACGGTAAAGTTGGAAGCCGCACAGATTGAAATAAACCACAAACAGGTCATCAGTAGTGAAAAAGCGTCCATGAAAACCGTCCAGCATCAACCACAACGGAGCTGTGTGAAAGCGAAAGTCAGGAGATATTGTAACTAAATAATGTGACTGGTTATGGAACCGATTTTAGCACTCAACGGATCAAATGTCATGATGAGAAGAAAAAGGCAGAGTGGGAAATCGTAATATGATACCTATCAACTCTATGGGAATACCTAGCACAAAACGAAAATTAAAGGAAAATTTCCCCCAAATTATCACCCACCGGGCTTTTTCCAGCTGCCCACTGACGCGTTCGACAGCCATCTGATGACGTTCTCTTTCCTGCAAAAGATCACGCTGTCTGGCTCGATTTGCCTCGAGAAGTTGAGGCCAGGGCGCAGCGGCCAACTGGGCTAATTCAGCAGCCGGGCCGACAGCAAATCCTGAGTCCGGACCCGAGGAAGCGAAACGTGTGTTTTGTTCTAGTTCCGCAATTTCTGTACGTAAACAAAACATGTAATTAAGTGTGTGTGTGAGAGAGAGAGTGAGTGAGACAGACAAAATTTTTATGAGATATTCAATCCGCGTGATTGACAATCTGAGTTGCCCAAAGTACGCTCATGTACCCAATCACACATACAATGTTGACCGCACGACCAGGCGTGTCCGAGAGCACTCGTGGGTCTCATCCTGCGTAGTTCAGACGTGGAGTAATTCAGTCAATCACAAGTGCGATCCTGTCACACATTGTCGACACTAATCACATTGTAAAAGTGATCGAAGCGTTTCGATGGGACGCTCTATAGACAAGTGCGGTTTCGCATTCTAGCCACAGCGGAGGCAGTTAGTATCAGTCTTTACAACCCTTCTGTGTGTTCGAAAACAACTTGTGCAAGCATTCAAGCTCTCCCATGGCCGGATCGCCGACAAGTGACCCGTCGTGAAACATCCGAGCAAATGATAATTGAGAACCAATTATGATACGAACTGTTGAATACTTTAATTACTTTCATTTTTCCATTATGAATCCTTATTTGTTACTAGTTTTCTATATTGTGTTGTAATGGTATGATTAAGACACTGAAGACGAGCTTGTTTACCAATTTGTGTTCTCATTATGTGCTCCGTGAGACTGCTTAAACATTAGGTATAATTGTTCAAGAGGACTTAGGCTGCTCGATCAATTGCACCAGGACTTCGTCCGCTGTTGTGAAGAATATCAGTTTGCTTAGGCGATTCTTTGGTCGAACTGAATCAGTTTGTGCCCGCGTTTGTTATCGGTGTACGTTCGACCGTACACAGAGTACACCTTCCAAGTTTGGAATCCATGGTTGCAACGTGATCGTAAGATGCTGGAGCATCCATACACGATTGCTACCAAGATGGTCAAAGGATGGAACTGCCTTACCTACGGCGAGAGATAACGATCCTTGGGACTACATTCCGCTCAATTCTGACCGAATTTGAGGGGACTTGATTTTGCTGTGTCTATTATCATTGTTGCCGCGTTGTCCGCAAGCCGGCAATATATTTGGCCATTTTTTGAGTCAAACGCGTATGAGAAGATTGAAAAATGGTCACTATAAATTTACAATTTGAGTCGCACTCATCTTGATGATCACAAACCAACACAATCTGACTATGCATACACATCAGTCAGGGCATTTTGGATTGATAAAAGGTGTTGAGAGCACCACAGTGCTGTCGGTTCGTAGCCATATCCTTCAGTCATCATCGTTGTACAGCGTAAAACAGTGAAGCAAACTTCGCTGATCGCTGCCAAACTCATATTGCAAACAAGGTAAGTGATAATGTGTAAGTAGGACAGGGATCGGACCTATTTTTAGGGACGGGAGCAGAAAGCGCACCTCTGTGATCAACACAGAGTACACAGTCCAACTGTGTCCAATTGTGCATACATACAATTTCAAGCATTCTGGTCTGATAAGAAGTGACGACATGATCGCCATTGCTGTCGGTTTGCAGCCATGACCTTCGGTGTCTCCAATCGTGCAGTTTCGGAGTCTTTTGAACCCCAATCCAGAAGACGAGAGACACCTACTTTACCTAATCGCTTTGTGCAGTTCTTTATGCCTCGTCTCCACGTAATCTGCTGACATCTACATGGCTTTCTCCAGTCTGCAACAACCACTGCGACTAAGGCGCGCTGCGCTAGGCGACCGTCGGACATACGCAAAACGTATCTTAAACAAGGAGCCTATTGAGCTGAATTCGATGCGAAAGCGAGTCCTTGTTCGATACATTGCCAAATACCCGACGACATACTTCTAAGTTACCAACCCGCTCACTCCATCTCACTTGGGTCAGACTACGTAATCATCGATTATCGAAAACCACTAGGCGACGGAAGTCTTCTACCAGCAAATTCAAGGTCTCACAACCGTAAAGCAGAACTGATCGTACAGTGCCGCAGTATACGCGATTTTCTAACTTCAGTGAAACGTCACGTCGCCGCCACAGGTATTTCAGTCCTGCCTACGCTGTTTGAGCCTTGGAAATGCAGGCGTTTATCTCCTTGATGATCTACCGTCGTTGGTCACGCAGCTACTTAAGTACGAGAAACAGTCAACTTCAGCTAATTCTTAACCGTCTAGTTTCAGAACGGAACTTCAGTGTCTCCAACCAATCAGTTACGGAGTCAGTTGGACCCCAACTTGGGAGACAACAGAGACAACTACTCTATTTGATCGGTTGGTGCATTTCTGCACGCCTTGTCTACACACCATCTATTGACCTCCATGTGATTTTTTCAGTTTGGGGAGGCAGTCAATTTCTCAGTGTGCTCGATGCGAAGCCTACCAACTGATATGAAAACGGGTTCCCCCCTCCCACAGTTTACCTTTGGTTTACCAACTGGCTTACTCCATCGCACCAGCACCAAACTGTGAAAGCATCGATAGTCGAAACTCCCTCGATGATGGATGTTTCCTGCTCGCCAATTCACGGTCTAACATCCATAAGGTAAAAGTGAACGAACGGTGCCATAATATACACCACCGTACAACTTCAGTGAAACGTTACGCCCTAACGCCCAAGAGGTTTTAGTTTTGCGTTTTAGGTTGCTCGAGCACTGGAAATGATTTCTTCCTCGGAATAATCCAGTTCTATATAAATAGGGTTCAAACTTGTCAAATTGATGTCATGATCTGATATGATGAATATGATTTGTTGATTGTGAAGAGACAGCGCATTTTGTTGTACAGTTTGGAAATGTTCACGGTCAATCGATTGAGTGAGCTATCAGAAGCATATAGAAACGCTTTTAAATACCCTCAGTAGTGTCCACACCATCACCAGTTACATATCCGAATTGGAATTGAGAGATGATTTTCATCTCCAAGAAGTTAAATTCCCAAGATGCTACAGAAGCACAATAAAAACGCTTTCTCTCTCTTTGTTTGCCGTTAACATTTTGCCAATTTTACACCTCTGAAACTTAATTCAAACCTTTGTGTATCGAGCAAGCAGTATTTCTTGAAAAGACTGTCTACCCCCGAAACTAGCTCATATAGAAAGGAAACACTCTTTGAAAACGGCTCTCGAGGACGATTTGTTCTGAAGAACCGGACCGAACGGCCTCCTAGAGCAACACTAACAATAGCGATAAGAGCAGAGCTCTTTGTAAGACTTTTACCCGGCAGTTGAATCTGAATTAAACGTATTCCTCATTTCCAGCCACAACACTCCCAACTGGGATCTATGCACGATTCAGTGTTCGTGTTTCACACTTAGATTCTTCTCTCTGATCGAATTAATTTCGACCGAATTTTGATTTCACCTCTTTCTGACTGTGAAACCACGAGAAACCACGGCCAATTGCCATGAGCAATGGTGTTTATTGTTGTGGATCGGGGTTGCTGCATCATAGGCCAGCTATATTGGGGAGGAGAAGAGATAAAAAGGTGGAGGAACGTATACCGGTTTGATATTAAGAATAAATAAATAACTTACCTTTGTCTAACCGAAGCAAATGGATTCGATTCAATTCCACCTCCCGTTCCTGATAGGCCAGCTGATCCTCCAATTGATGGTATTCCTCAAGTTCTATTTGGGAAACGCGGACACAAAAAAGGCAGATAGTAAGCAAACATTTAGTGAAAGTGTGCCAAAACCGAAATCAAATATTTCTGTATTGATTATTTTTTCTGAAAGGCTAGTGCACACACAGTACCGTTCACATTCTGTTCGGGTAGACAGAGCACACACAACACATGGACAGGGAGAGACCGGAATTATGGCCCAACGTTACTGTGAACGAACTGTTCCTATAGGTCGAATGATGAGATAGATACAATCTGAACTTGTCTGGTTCAGAGTGGCTACTGTTTGAACTCGCCGTTCTCCGAAACCAGGCAAACTAGCGTACAATGGAAAACCCAATCGATATGAGATGCACGTTTCCATGGTTGAAACATCATATTACCACAAACTAAATAAAATAGAAGAATTTTATCATAAGCTCTAACCTTCGAAAGCCTCAGTATGGTAGGGGGTCGGTGTTCAGGGTTGTGGCTGGTCACCTCGCGAAATGCTCCTATATGACCAAGGATCATAAATAGCATCTGCTGAGAAAGCTTTACTTACTTACTGCCTTCCCGTGGCGAAAGCGTTTTTCCATCAAAGTGAGCGGACGAAGAGCCAATATCCGGGTAGGTGAACCACTGGCGGTCCACTTAGGAGCTCTACCCCGAGTGATTTCAGGACCATTAGAATCATCAACTCCGGGAGATATTATTGTGTGGTTACAAGTAAAAACTTGTTTATTTAAGAACTCCGAAGTGGTCGAAATAGGTTTAAAAACTATCTCCTGAAAAGAGATTGTTCCATTTTTCGCTTTTTAGTCAACAATCTTCATTCACTCTGTGACAGAAAACAAAGAAGCATGACTTGTGTGTCTTAAAAAAGATGGTCTGATACATGCAGTGTAAAGCCTCACACTACCATACTGTGTGAATCAGATATGTAGAAGCCAGATTAGATGCCATAGATATACAGTCCCGCAAGCAGATTGGAAAACAAACATGATTGTATGCATACCGCTATCGTATCGGGGTGGACGTGATTGTGTCGCGTCCGCTGTTGGGGCTTCCACTCCAAGTGTCCTGTGCAGGATGTGCTTCGGCGGACTGGTTACAGCGGGTTGTGCGCGGGTAACATTCCAGTTGGTACATGTGGGACGCGGTGGTTCAGCCAGATTAAGTGGCTTCGGGGTGTCCGAATTAACCGAATGTATATGCCCAGATGCGTAACGATCCCCGGATCGATGTAGAATTGTCGGCTGATGCGTTTGGCTGTGCCCAGGGCGAGGTGATGGAGCCTCCAAACGACGCAGAATGAATTGCACATTCGCCGGTTTCTCTTTGATACTTCAAAATGGCAGGGTGAGCACATGGCAAGTTTAGTTTGACGGCCCGCTCGGTTCACGGTAAATCAAAGCGAATAATTACAAAATCCCTTGGCACACGTTTAATACAGGTACATGAAAGTGTAAACACAAAAAAACATCCACACTGGATTTGGATAAGTAATTACTCAACCCAAGACAGATCATTATCTCCTTAAACAGATTTCATTAGTAGTGTCTTCTTCCTGGGTGACATGGAAAGCGCTGGAAGTTAAAATTTGGGCAGCCTTTCCCTTTTGTTGTTTCATTTTGAATGAATTTGCGAAATAGTCATAAGCACACCACGGTGTGTGATGACCACCTTCACTTGCGCAAGTCTACTCAAAACAAGCAGCTCTATTCCTCCACCTTCTTAGACACAAAACTAGGTTCCCGTATTTTCTAGGAGATCAACAACTTCCCTACGCCTCGAATGAGAAGGATCTCGGCGTCATTGTTCAAGACGACCTAAGCTGTTCTTTAAACTGCTCCCGGGCATCGTCTACCGCTGTAAGACATGTTGGTTTGCAAAAACGAGTATTTGGCGAATTTGAACCAATGCTGTTCCCACGATTGTTATCAGCCTACATTCGACCCCACACAGAGTACGCCATTCAAGCATGGAATCCATGGCTGCAACGCGATCAAAAGATTCTGGGACGTCCACAGAGAATGGCTACCAAAATGGTCAAAGGGCTACATTCCAAGAGTTATGCGGAAAGACTGGAAGCACTGCAACTGTACTCCACACAGTATCGC